TAATTCATATAAATAATCACTATGATCAACCTTTTTCGACTCACTGCTGGATGAAGGTCTCTTCAAGTTTTTACCACAAAATTCTGTCATCTGTGATTCCTATCCACGATGATCCAACAAAAAGTTTTTCAGTTCATCCTACTGTGAAACCGAAGATGTTCCCATCATTTTTTTTCTTTCTGTTGGAACCCGGACAATATATAACTGGCTTGACCAAGGTCGGCGATTATTTTGACGCGTGTTGTCCTTTGCCAGTTTTAACTTTTCGCTTACGCATTACTACCGAGACTCATTTGTGCTCATTCTTTTTGTTAATTTTTTCACTTCTTCTTATTTCCAACATATACTTTACCAAGCTGCCTTGCGCCGTCCGCAGTTTGTGAGCAGTTTTCATGATTAAGATACACACCTCAGAGCGCGAACTGTTCTAAGGAATTTTCCTTCAAGCCCCAAGGCATTTTTGGCGAATAGGAACATTTTCAATATTCCAAAAGTATTCCATGCCATTTTTACTCTTTTGTTGATTTCGTAGGGTCGGTTCTCCGTTTCTGAAAGGAACTGCTGCTGAACAACTCCGCAAGTAACCTACTGACACTCACTGAAGACGGGTGTAACGTCGCTACTAGAGTGGAGCTAAGGGTGAACGCCAAAGACGAAAATTACGAGACGAGGACACTGTGAGAACGGTACTGCGATGGATAAGGTAGGTACTAACTCCACCTTTGCCAAATCCACTCCCACATGAGGAGTAGCACTTGGGACCGTGACAAGACTTTCCACAAAACTTAGCCACCTGCCCTTCACGTCATTGCCGCAATCAAGCGTCAAACTCGCTTGGTGGTCAACTGACTTACCAAACACCGCGCAAGGCGTTGCACACCGAGGCAAACTGCAAGTTTATGCATTCAGAACATGCTTCCCCCCTTACGGCAGATCAGAAGCACAGCGACAGGCTACCAAAGATGGAAGCACAGCGACAGGCTACCAAAGATGGACGAAATGGCGACGAAGTTACAAGTCAGCAACGGTGCCACTACCCGTTCTGAATTAAGGAGGCAGACAGCGTGATGTTATTACAGCACGTCAGAAAAGGGTCCACGAAAACGACACCACCAGTGGGAGCATACAGTCGGAAATTCGAACATATCTTCACTCAAAAGGAACGAACAGAAGTAGGCTGATGAGGTCGTAAGGTACAAACTCGACATAATTGGACTTTCGCCAACAAAACGCCAAGGCTCTGGAATCTTGAACCTCTGCGGGTGGAAGCTTTTCTACTCATGTGTAGTTATCCAGACGCGCTCAGGCCGGTGTGGGTGTTCTGGCTGAATCTAACCTCGCATATAGAACCATGTTTGAAGCCTGTCAGCGGAAGGGTGGCAATCCTCTGACTGGAGCCGCAACAGGCTAAAGCATTGACTTAATTACAGGCCTCTGTGGCCATTTTGGAGGGAAAGTGAGCTCTATACGAAGTGAAGAATACGGAGTCCCTCATCCTAATGGGTAATTTTAGTGCGAATGCGGAGCGAACACTGAAAAGTGGAGAGTTGTGATTGGAAAGAACGGCTCTAACGATTTCAACAATAATGACATGAAGCTGTTGCGGTTTTCTGCAAACAAGGAACTTTCTATCGTGAACACCTTACGCTGTCAAGAAACGACATTGATCGATTTGATAATATTATCGCAAAACTTACGACACTAGGTGATGGATCTTCGCGTAAAGGGAGGCGCACAGATGTCACCGATTATTCGCCTTGTCACTGACACCCTCCTCTGCTATAAACGACAGAGTACCATGCGAAGACCTGGGGGAAGAGGGAACCAGAAAATCAAATGGGAAATGTTATCTTCTGCGACTATGAGAACAAAACTTCCTTGTACTACTGTTTGAACATATGTACCTGATAGCCGGTGATGCGGATATGGAGTGAAAGCACTTTAAACGAGGCTCACTCGTACCTAGCGCAAAACGCAGTGGTTTAAAATTTTTTAGGTCCATCAGGTAAGAAACAAACTTATTGATGAACAGGAGAGGTTCAACTTACTGCCAGCGCGAAGAAAGCTGCATTCAAGCGGTAGCTCAAAGCCATGAGCTTTCAACTCGAATGCAGTGCGAGGAAGTGCGCAAAGAGTAGAGAAGGCAGTGGCGAAAGCGAAATCTGCTTCTTGGTAGAAGTTCGGTGAGATGTCTTGGTCAAATTTACAAATAGCAAACAAGATATTCTTGCACACCTGCCATCCGCCGCCTCAGAGTGGAAAAAGGGCAGCGTAAGAATGCGCACGTACAAGACTAAACGATCTCTTAAGGAGAATGAATACATACTTTGGTATTAGTGAGAGTACTCTGAGGAACTCAATGATTTCAAGCAACCGTAAGAAGACTACTCTGCAGAGCAGCACGGGGCAGACATACTCCTAGATTAAATCACTGAAGCCACAAAGAGCTTGAAAAGTGGCAAGACAGCCGGAATGGATGAAATCGGTCCTGAAATGCTTGGGTAGGCCAACAAGTATCTGCCAAACTTCACTGGCTACGGGAAAGATATCACACTGCTGCAGTATTTTCTCCTCAATAACGGGGACAATACCGGGTGCTACAATAACTGGGGCATTACCTTATGGAGCCTGCCGGCTAAGCGTACGCAAAGGTGCAAGAAAGGAAGTGCCGCGGAGTAAATGATTCCAAGATATGAGCAATGTGGCTTCCGGCCCGGCCTAAGGGCATCTGACCAGATATTCACCGTAAGCCAGATTGCTGAGAAATCGTGTAAGTTCGCTTGTCCGGTGTACATATGGTTCGTTAACTAAGAAAAAGCCTGACCAGATGCCGCGCAACAGTC